CCAAAGAGACGGGCGGCCGACGAGTCGCGGAGATTGTGCTCCAAGACATCCAACTCTTTTCTGGTGATACAGTACTGTTCGCGTATGTCTTCGCGAGAGTATATCGGGTGACCCTTTTTGTTGCGAAGACCGCCGAAAGGGATTCCGCGCCGCGATTTCACCATTTCATCGTCAGAATCATATGTAATCACATCGTATGATAGGTTTGCCTAATAAACATATAAACATATGATTATAATATGCAGTATTTTAAATGTCTTATTTAAAGCATCTAATTTTCAACAAATACTGTTGTAGTTGTTGTTTATACATTGATACAACAAATGTAGTTGATTAGAGATAATTAAATAAAAATGATTTTTTATCCTTATATTGGATATAATTTTGTGCGTAAAAATATAATAAAATATTATTTGAAATGACATATAAATGAATACCTGAGTGCAGGCATCGACCAAATCAAATGACGCCGACTTTTGTGTGGCAAACGCTTCTCTAGAAGTGGTTATGGATAGAGGTTTGGCTGCGGATGACTGAGCGGGTGCTGACTGTGCACTGGTATTAGTTGAAGCGTTGGCTATGATTGTCATTGAATTGTATTGGTTTATAGCGATTGGAAGAAAGAAAATAAAAGATTTGATACATTATTTAATTGCAAGCATAAAGTGGTCGCAAAATAAGCAAAACTATTATTGCTATTGAATTGTAGTGTTTCAGACGAGACCCCTCTAATGAGACACAAAATTGAGTTTATATTCATTTATTTCTGACAATTATTTTTTGTTTGTATAGATAATGAAATAAAAGAAACAATAAAATTGATATAAAATATAAATAAATGATTACTGTACAATATATTCTATATATGATAATAATTGGAGATTTGTTGGAAATGTTTAGTTATTTATAAATGTAAACATTTTTAAAGATACAAAAATATTTGCTTTTAATGAATAAATAAAATATTGATATAATAATAAAATTAGAGAAAAGTGAAGTACAGTATAGTGAAAAGTTTCAAACAAATAATTAGTTGATTAAAATGTGACAAAAATATATGTAAGTATTGTTACTATTGATGGTATGAGGAAATTGGATGTCGTATTGCAAATTGCAAACCAAAAGTGCGTCAATTATTTGAAAGGAAAATGTAAAAATGAGATTGCTCTTTTATAAAAATTTTATTATAATTTTATAATTAAAAATAACAATCCTCATATTTTTGCATTTGACCATGCTATGTTCAATTATTGTACATTACATAAATACAAACAAATATTTCTATACTATTTTAGTATTTTACTACATTTTAATTATAAAATAAATATACAATATTTAAAAATGCAATAAATTGTCTGTAATTTAATTTAATTTATAATTTAATAATTAAAATAATAATAACTAAAATTTATTTATTTATAGAAACTCAAATCAAAGCTACAATAATTGTATTATCATCTCAATTATTGAGATGATAATAATGGATATACTAGGAAATATTGAACTCCATGTCAAGTAATTATATAAAATATGTGTAGTTTGAGAACATTGGAAACTCTACTTATTCTACTTACTCTGCTTTTGGAAACAGAATAGTAGAATGCATTGTATATACAACTCAATTGCCTATTAGTGTTATGAATGAAATATTTTATGGACTGACTCTACAATTAAGACGAAAGGTTTTGTCAATAGTTTGCAATTGAGTTGTGGAGAACTGCTCACTAGAACTTCATAATTGCCTATAGAATAGAGTTTAATTCTCAGATAAGATTACAAATTATTTTATGTTTAATATATAACATAATTGGCATTTTGTCCAATTGGTTCAAAATATGGTTTTATAACAAAATTAATATTCTTTTAATTAATAGAGAATTAAAAAATATTATTATACCAAGGTGAATTGAAGTTTCAAGAGATAATTTTGAAATATAAATTACATATAAATTGATTTTTATATAATTATTTGCCAAACATTTGCCAAAACGATTCACAACTGAATTCGTATAATACAACAGTATATACCGTACATAATGTATAATACGTGAGTGTTTTCAATGAACTGAGAGTACTGTAGAGTTGTATGAATGAAAGAAAAGAAACAAGAATTTGCATGAAAGCCATGAAAGCCATGAAAGCATTTGTCATAATGTGGTGCGAGTGCTGTCACAACGCATCACAAATCAATTGCGAACCAAATCTCAATGATTACAAAACATACTGAATAGACATCGAGAGCACAAACCCGTAGATATATAAAAGAAATACTCATTCACTACAAACACCGTATTTAGAAATACAATACATTTCTGTTTTTATTTTGTATTCAAACCACAAAAACATCTTTTTAAAAGATGTTTGTATTCAATACTTTAAATCTCAAGTTTTTAAAGTATTAAAATTGATTTTTAGTATTGATTAAAATAACTTATATACCAATTCAAAATTCATTTTAATGGCATCTCTCTCTCTCCCTCTCTCTCTCTCTCTCTCACTCACTCACTCACTCACTCACTCACTCACTCACTCACTTAACACTCACTTATTTAAAATGTTTAAGAAAGTCTGGACTCCAGACTCTGAAAGTCTACTTCAATGGTATCTATTATAACAGAAATGATAACATTGTTAATGCATTCCTTCATTGTTATTGTTTTTGATAATTAATGAATTCTAATCTATAATTACAATTACTATAATTACAAATAACATGCGATAAAATTAATTGAATCAGAATGCCTAAAATTATTGTTAGTTATAATAATTTAGACTTTGCTCTAAACATAATAAAATATTTCAATTATGATATAATTATGAGATATGAGATAGTCTTATATAATACATTACTGAATATAAAATGAAATATTTATAAAAATTTACAACAAATAAATGGATGTATAAAATAATATGTCATTCAATTCGAGTGAAAACGAAAGGAAATCATTAAATGGTGTTATATTTAAGGTCACTGAAGCTATTGTTTATTTAATAATAAATTATATTTAAATCAACGCAACAAAAGCTAATGAAATATAAGTTGTGAGAAAATCTCCAAAATTGTCTGAATTAGGACTCGTATTAGGAAAGAGTTTGAATGAATGGGCGATACCTTATATGAAGCGCTCAAAGAAATTGAAACTAATTTTGTTGTTTTATTATTGAGAACACGTGAGAAGTCATAATCAGGATATTATGAAACTCACATATAATACACAATACATTACTGTATATGCAGTTTATATACATTATAATGGGTTCGTAATATCAGATGTAATATGAGATTCACTGGGAATGCAAAAACCGGTTATGGATTTAATAAATATAAATATTATTAAAACTAAATTCATATACATTGAAGAGTTGTGTCAATACAATAATTTCATAAATGTTATTTCAGTTTATATATTATAAATGTCATTCAATGCCACTCATGAGTTAGTGTTTGCCATTATTTCGTACGTATTGTATATTCCCGTTACGAACGGATTGTGTTAAACATAATTTAATGTGTATATAAATATCAACTATGTTTTAATACATCGTCTCTTCTATTAGTGACAGATTAAGGAAAGTTTTTATAAAATATATTTTTATATAAAGAGTGTTCACTAAATAATTAATTGATTTGACATAAATTGTCATCACTTTATAACTTGTGACTAAACTTGTAATTAATTATTTAATGTAAAACATCATTAATATTCATTATGTTGATACTTAACAAATAACAGGTAAGTTTAGATCTATGTTGTGTTAATATATTTAAACTTGTAGTAATTAAAAATAAATACAATATTTATCATTAAATAAATTATTAGTTAAAAAAATGTTCAACACATGTATTTTTAGTGTTTTTCTAAACTGATGTCAATATTGAAGTATTGATAGGAAATTAGGATTAGAAAGCAAGTGATTTCGGGAGCCTTGAAAATATCCAAATCATAGTCTGTTTCCAACGCTTGCAGTGATTGTTATCAAACATTAAGACGGGAGTCATAATTAAGGACATATTGTGTCTCTATATATATGTGAAAAGATGAGTGAATCGGAAGCAAAAAACCCAACATTCAAACTAGTGTTTATCGGTGACAGCGGTGTCGGCAAAACAAGTCTCGTCGAGCGGACGGTTAGGAATTGTTTCAATGAGAGCACCGATAGTACAATAGGCGCAGCCTTTCAACGATTTGCGCTCAAAGCCAATGATAACATTACTGTCACGTATAATATATGGGACACTGCGGGACAGGAAAGGTATCGATCTCTGGGACCCATTTATTATCGGGGATCAGATGCCGCTATTCTTGTCTACGACATCACAAATAGTGCCAGTTTTGAAAACATTGAGTTTTGGATTTATAGTTTAAAAAGTGTTTTGGGATCTCATATTGTCATGGCTTTAGTCGGTATGTATTATTGGTTTATTAGATTTTGCTTAATATTATCATTAATTACCGCCAAAACGTGTTCAGTTGGAAATGTTCAGTAAAGTGTTCAGTTAAAAATATATTACGATTTTATAATTAATACATTTAATTTACGCTTAATTATCAGTATTAAGTTTTGTCAGAAGTATTGGATTGAGAAATTGGGTGATGGATGTAGTATATGACAGATTACAGTATAATGTTAAGAATTGTATTAATACGTGGGTAGCAATAAATTTATTACATTTATGTCTCAATAGTATAAAATCAAAATCTGATGAAATCATTGATAAGTAAATTATTGCCATTTTTAGGTAGAGATGACTTAAATTATAAAATTGAATAAAATAAGAATATTTTAGAACTGATTGATTAAATATAGTGTTAAACAAAACAGTGTTTATATTAGTGTTATTTTTTCGAAGGAAATAAATCGGATTTAGAGCACAGAAGAGTCGTTGACTATAAAGAGGCCAAACATTTTGCCAATAAAAATGATCTCATATTTATGGAGACGTCGGCTAAAACTGCGCTAAACATTGATCTTATATTAAAGAAATTGTCTCAAGAATTAATTAAACGAAAGAAATGTGGGGATAATGTGGACGAACGTGGTATTCGGCTTAAGCTCAACAAACACAATAAGCTCAGTATTAAGAGAAAGTGCTGCTAATCATCGGCAAGTTTTTTCTTCTTCATTGTATTTTCAACATTCAATCGATGAACACATTATGTAATATAATTTATTCGCTAATCACATAATTGTACATTAATAAAAATATTTAGTAATTATTTTAATTCGATAATAATTATCATTTCTGATTAATTGAATAATTGAAATGTTTATTAATTTTGAGATAATTTAATTTTTATGTGAAGATATATGTTAAATATTAAATGTTAATTAAATTGATAAATAATATTTCAGTTTAATAATAACAAAAAATTCAATATATTGTCTCAGAATTCAATATAATTCAAAATCAAGTCACACTTTATTTATGTTATTAAATATGAAATACATTTAATTGTTTAAATGTTTTGTTAAATATATAATATTTTTATAAATAAAATAGGTTAATGTTATTGCTTGTGAAATAAACTTATATTGGGTATAGAGTACTAAACAAAACATGGCCAAAATATTGAACAAAATGCCAAAATCAATAAATACATTATTGTGAACAAGAATGACAAAACGTGCAAATTTTTAAAAATAAATAATCAATACAATAATTTCAATTATAAACCAAATGATTACTTTAGACATTCATTCGTTGATTACATTCTCATTAAGATTTTTAAACACAATTTTTCTATTGACAAATATTTTATGAAAGAATGCATTTTCATTATATATATTATAATTATTATATTCACGTAGAAAGCAATTATCGTTTTGTGGATAATTAAATAAAAATCTCAATATGAGAGCAATAAAAAATCATACACTCATTAATTATGTAAAATATTCTTAAAATTATATATTTATCTTTAGTATTATATAAAATATTTTATAATAATTTACTAAAATAATAAAATACTGTATAATTATTATACTATAATACAAATAAATAATTGCAAAATAAAATTATAAATAATTTATAATATAATTAATAAAATATTCTAATAGTTAAATGACTTCATAATAAGTAAATAAGTAATGAAAAGCTCATTGTTTGATAAAATAAAGTATTGATTAAATTGTTTTTCTATCATTTTCTTGTTGTTTATTCCAATCATTGTATTCAATAAAACGTTTGCCATTAATTGGAGGCAATTTTAATCCATTCTTAATATGAGTTTTACCAACACTTAGGCCTAAATTTTGATGAGACTTTGTCTGAGGTTTTATTAATGCATTGCTTTCCGTTTCTGATAACTGTTTCGCAATACGACTGGTGTTTGGGATGAAAGGGTCGCTAATCTTGTTAACATTATTGAACATTTTAATATCATTGTCGGCCACTTGTGAGCCAATGTCTCGCCTATTATTGAGCGCCTCCTTCAGCGTATTGATGACAGAAACGCATTCATAATGGTTGGCCTCATAGGCCAAGTCGAGAGCAGTTTTGTTATCAAAATTTTTGAGATCAATTAATTTGGCATTAATTCTATCATCACATATGATGTGATCGGCGACCACTCGCAACACCTGCACCTGACCGTAACGGGACGCCAACATTATCGCGTTGTTGCCTCCCTTATCGCACAATTCATAATTGGTTTTATCCTTTAATCAATTAATACATCATTTCATTATCATTTCTCTTAATATTTTGTCTCTTAAGTGCATTCATTAAACTCATAACTAATCACTTAATCATTATTAAACTTGTTTTCCATCATTGCATTCACCTTCTAATCAACTAAATATTATCAAAATTAATAAAATATTGTTATTATAGCAGTCAGAACATGAGATCACGAAATGGCAAGCATTTGTTTAATTAAATGTCTCAAATGAATTATTAACGAATCATTTATATTTAATTAATAATAAAATAATCAATTAATATTAGGTCTAATAATGGCATTTATAATGTGAGATCTAATAATTATATGTGTACGTATAAGAGTGTGTATTATGTGTGCGATTTGTGCGACGAGTGAATTGAAAGAGTATTTATGTTAAGAAAAACTTACAGAAGAGAGAAGGACTTTGACGTAATCTGACTGACCATTGATGGAGGCGTGTATTAAAGGAGTTAATCCGTAAATATCACACAAATTGGGATTTGCGTTATTGTCGAGCAATAGTTTGGCAAATCTTTCTCTATTATACCAGTTATCAAAACCCGTCAAATATATGGAAATCATAATAAGTGGAGTTCGCATACAGGAGTCGCAAGCGTTAGCATTAGTCCCGTTGCCCACCAACAGCTCAAACTGGCTTTATATCCCAAATACAAATTACATACTATTTTCAATCATATTCAGTATAAATAAGATATTTGAATAACTATATGAGAATGCATTGTATTGTGCAAATAAACGCAGCACTTTGTTCAACAAATATGTATTTTTGCTATTTTTTATATTTTGTAAATATTAATATATAAATATTAAACACATTTATTATGATTTGTATGTATTACAGTTACTGTATGTCTCAGCCTCTAAAATAAACTTTTTGAGTAAAACATTGAAATAAATGTTTCACTTTTACTGTCATTAGTTTTGTTATTCTCCAAGAAAAATATCGATTTTTATACTATTATATATAAAACACGTTTAGAGCAATTTGTTTACTAAATTAACTATTTTTAATTATTTCAAACTCTTAAGAGAATTTAGTGAGTATTTAATAAATTGAAATCATTTTGGTGAAATTCTGAGAATATAATACCGATAGGAATAGATCGTGAAAATAATGATAACAATTATGTGGAGAATATTGGTGTCTATAAAATTATTTGGTGTTCTCTATCTTTTTATGTACTTTTATTGAGTACTTGTAAATTAAGGGCCAGAATATTCATATGAGAATGCATTGTATTGTGCAAATAAACGCAGCACTTTGTTCAACAAATATGTATTTTTGCTATTTTTTATATTTTGTAAATATTAATATATAAATATTAAACACATTTATTATGATTTGTATGCGTTATTACAGTTACTGTACAGTAGTTATGTCTCAGCCTCTAAAATAAACTTTTTGAGTAAAACATTGAAATAAATGTTTCACTTTTACTGTCATTAGTTTTGTTATTCTCTGAGAAAAATATCGATTTTTATACTATTATATATAAAACACGTTTAGAGCGATTTGTTTACTAAATTAACTATTTTTTAATTATTTCAAACTCTTAAGAGAATTTAGTGAGTATTTAATAAATTGAAATCATTTTAAGAGTAGTCTTGAGAGGGAAACACATTTTGGTGAAACTCTGAGAATATAATACCGATAGGAATAGAGGAATAGATCGTGAAAATAATGATAACAATTATGTGGAGAATATTGGTGTCTATAAAATTATTTGGTGTTCTCTATCTTTTTATGTACTTTTATTGAGTACTTGTAAATTAAGGGCCAGAATATTCCGGTTTATACATCCAACACAAGAAAGCTATTAACTCTATAAATGTCTGCTATAAATGATTGAAAAATTAAATTCTGGTTCTATGAGTGGTCTTATAATAAGAAATATACGAATTTTATTGCAATTGGATATAAAATGACAAAACAAAAGTGATAGAGAATGGGATGAAATGTAAACATAGTGTTTATATGTAATAATAAGTGTGTTGTGTATTACTTACCGATATCTCACATTCTTGATGGCATCTGACAGAGCATCAGAGCAATCATTGAGCCGATCATTATATTCCCATAACATTGTCCGTACATTTTTATGACTATGTATTACTATTATTAAGTATATAATATTTTCAAGTTATTTATTTATAAACACACACAAAAATTAGAGACTATTATCCACGACATTGTTTATTCAGTACTTTAATTATTCAATGTATTAATATTTAAATAGTTTAGCCACAAATGAAATGTTTGAAGCATCTCTTTATTGCAATACATAAACGAGATTTTTGTGTTAACATAGACTCAAAAGATTATAACAGAATTTATTTGAATATAAAGCTATGAAATATTATCGATGTTTTTGTATTAGTGTTGAAATGCAAAATGAATAAAAAATAGCATTAAATGGAATTACTACTTCTTATATGTTTTATACCCATATATCTGATGTACACTATATTCATATATATTATGAAATTATTTGGTCAATAAAGCAGAGAAAGTATTTATGATTTGGTTGTCGTCACGCATTCGCAGACAAACTGTTGTGAGACTTGTCTTCAAAATTGTGTGAATATTTTTAGATCAATAATCATTGAATTGAATCAAACGCTAATTCATTTCTTAACAATTTTGTATACTCGACACTTACAACTGCTATCACTAAATATTTCACTTTTAATATATAGATTTGTAATTAACCAAACAAACAATATATTTATATCCAAATATAGATTAAACTAAATTGCATACTGAATGACATTGAATTTTGATTAATTTGTTGTTTTTCGTGCAAATAATTTAGACTGACTTCATGTGAATATTTTATTATTAATGATCTGCAGAATATTTTTAACAATTTTTAAAATTCTCATTAATATACACCAAGATGTTTCACAATAATTCTACCATGTTGGATCCTATTATTTATTTGATTAATAGGGAAACAACATTATTGACTATAAAATATAATAGAAAAGTAAAGACAAATTGGCTTATAAATATGTGATCAAGAAATATCACAAAATACGATAAAACAAATGAATTACAATTATATGATAAGCCTTTAACAATAACACAAAATTATTTTGAAATGAAATAATGTTTTTCAGAAACAATGCTAATTAGTTACCAAACAAATGCTTTAAACTAATACTCTAATTAAAGAGACCGAAATATAAACAACTAATTAAATGGGAGTAGAAATGCGATGAAATAAATAATAGTATTAAAAGTATTGATTAAAAAGGTTTTTAATGACCAAAATTATTAACGAATAAGAAAACTCAAAAACATAAACAAAGAAATCTCATTAAAATCCTTAAAGAAGTTATTTTTATGCAAATAATAATTATTTTCTAAAATGAGATTTAGTGAACGATAGTATGAATTGACTAACAGTTATATTGTAGTGTTTTCTATGGAAAAACCTAATTCTGGTATCAAATGAATTACAGAATGTCTTCGAGAATACTATTATTTGAAGTAATGGAGCGCAGAGTTAATGATTTATTAACGATCTCTGAATTATTTATTATCCGATAGAAAAAATTGGATAAAACTTGTTGTCAGCGAATGAGAGAATCGATTTGCAAATTGTTTTAATTATTTTAATGAGAGATACAATCACTTGATATAACAATATTCTACGAATACTGCTATAAGTTTGTATACCTTTGTGACAAAAACATCAAAATCGCATATTTTTAATATATTAGAGTCTGCTCTCGGTAAAAGGGACTGTGATATAACCAGTGCTTTTCTGATGCCCAAACAGCTCTTGAAGTATAACACCTTGATAAAAAGGAAATTCGATATATGAGACACCATTTTATCAACCGAAACGAGTCCCTTATATCGCGAGCAGACCGTATATTTAAATTATTTGCAATTTAATCAAAATAACCATGATTATCAAGTCTAATTCAAGTGTTCTTAACAAGAATTTCTCAGTCATCTAACATGAACACATGTAAACACTATGGGAGAATAAAGGCCAGTATAGTTTTGAAATGTCGTGGGTTATTAACTTGTATTTAAGGTAAGTTCTTAAAGAATCGGAATTAATAAATTATGTGTATTAGAAACTTTAAAATTCTGTATATTTTAAAACTGGTTTTTGTACAAAAATTTCATATATTATTATTATATACATATACATTATTATATACATGAATACACAATACTAAAAGTAAAATTCGCACTCTTAATAAAAACTTGAAGTTTTTATCTTTTAAATTCAAATGTTTTGTATATATTTAGTAAATTAACTTAAACAGTAATTGTACAATTAAATTGTTAAATACATTCTCTAATAAATTAATTTTAGTGCAAGTAATATGTAATTTTACAACAACAAAGGCACAGCTATTCCAGTGTTGGAGTAATTTTTGAGTTATTCAAAATCTGTAAAATTTGAATGCAATTTAATGCAAGTCTTAAGTTATATGTGAGGTTTAACGGTACGCAAAATCATTCAAAAGATCGGCAATGTAAATAAAAATTAACATGATACTTATTTTGATTATAAGCTTAATTTGGTAGACTAGAGATTAGTGATGTTATTTTACACGTAATATTCATTTCAATCTTACGTTACATGTAATATTACGTAATTTACCGTCAGATTCCGTAAAATTCAATTTATAACTAAATAATTAATAAGTGAATATTAGAGTTA